CGCTGTAGCAAATGACAGAGAAAAAGCAGAAATCCGTCAAGACTTGGCTAACATTAAGAAGTACTTTGGAAAAACCTTGTATTTACAAATAATTCTGCCTACAATAATGCCATATATTTTTGTGTATATACACATGCACCATATATATGGGTGTGAGCATATATGTGTCTATATCTATATAGAGAGAAAATTCTGCTTTTCCTTGCCTCCTAACTTGTTTGTTGTTGGCAGAAACACATGTACGAGAGCCATTTCTCAGTTGACTGGCAATGCTCTGTTTGTGACATCACAACTGGCTGCTGAGGCTTGCAATGAGAGAAATAAGCAGCAGAAACAGATGAATCCTTAAGAAACAAATATCCTCTTTTCATGCAAATGTTTCTAACAACAACAAACAAGGGAAGAAAGAACGACAGACAGAACTGCTTTTAGAGAAGTCTTTCCAACATTTTGACACTAGCTCAAAAAAGTGAAATATATAAAATCCAGACAGTGCAACTCTTAATTGTCTTACTACACAAAGAATTATATATCTGTCAATGTTATATGTTATAATGTTACTGTTCTGTACCGGCAGTAATATCCACCTCCGTTGCTTAATAGTTAAAGTCTCTTGCAAACCTCTTTTCTCATCTTTCTTTTATTGGACCTAAATCAATTTAGTCTCTAAATCCCCTGAATCCATAATTTTGCTTGAAATGAGATTACAAAGCAGCTGATGATGTACATGAGAAATATAAATAAAAATATATTACACACAGACTTGCATCGCTATCCAGAGAAATCAGCCCTTTTTAAAATGCTTCCTTTTGCAACATTATCTCTTTAGATGTTTGGTGCTGATCAAAAGATGATACTGGAAAACAGAGAGAAACCACACATCAGTACACTTTGGGTAAGTTTCTCCTGCATCAGTCTGCTACCGCCCTGCTTTTCAAGGTCTCTGTCCTCCTCTTAGAAAAGATTGGCATGTAAGCTGAATTTTGCCCAGCTGTGTGGTGTTTTTTTGATGTGGACATAGAAGGTTGTGACGCTAAACCCATTCCACCAGTGACCTAGATTTATAAATATTTGTGCTTACTTCTCCAGTGGTGATGGGGCTGTAGGTTTGCTAGCCCTTCCAAAAGCTCTGTGGCAATCAGTATTTATAATAAATATAGTTACTGATTATCATAAATTTAGCCTATAAACTGTTCTCTCTAGGGGCCTAACTGACAGCAATGAAAGGCTGTGACTGCAAAATGTGAGACTGGACTACATTTAAAATGTGCTCATCTGAACTTTTGACTGCTGTATCTGGCACAGTAAAACAGAGAGGCCTGTTTCTAAATATCAAGGGTGTTTAATTCCCTCTGTCTGCCGTAAGATCAAGACAAAGTCATCTCAGTAAATAAACGTAACACCTTGTGTTTCTACAGCACTGTCCACGCTGAAGGATTCCCAAAGCTCTTTATGAACAGATAGACAGGATTGACTTCCTATTTCAGCGTGTTATTCTTTTCTTTATCATCTTTGTTGTAATAATCAAACCCCTTCCCCAGAAAGCAGACGCTTCTGCGATGAAACATGGCAGCTGCTCAATATCCCACAGTAACACCACACGATCAGTAAGAGCAGGAAGCGAAGAACACCATTTTTCCACAGAAAAATCATATGCACAAATGCAATTTCTGGCTCGAGTAGGACATATTTAGGCAGAAGGGGCGGGGGGGGGAAAGGGAGTTTGGTACTTTTTTTTGCTTCTTTATGATATATAAAGAGCTTTTCCCCACCTCGGTATGTTTCCTACTACTTTTTCACTTTAGAAACTGAAACCTGGTCTCTCCTGGAACACCCCTTCTGACTGGAAAACTAGTGGGATTATGACATCACAAAAGAGGAACAAATGACAGGGGGAGTGATTTGCTAGTCAGGCTGCTTAAAATTCTATTTTCAGAATATTTCTTTAAATAAACACACGCCTACTTGGCTAATCTGAGCAACATTTTGGGAGAAAAGGATGTTTGTGGTTAAGATTCCCAGTGCCTGTTCAATTCAATGGTGAGAAAGCTCAGCGCACAAAAAGATATCTGATTCAGCAAAATCAGGAAAGAACAGACTTGACATTTCTTAATATTGCTAAGGTTAAAAAAAACAACACAATCAGGAAAAAGCTATGAGTTTTGTGGTTTCTGAGAAAAAGTTTAGGCCTACTTTACACGTCATAAAGGAGCAAAAAGGCGGCATCAGAAAATTATTTAAATTTTCTTTTGAAATCTTTAAAAAAAATACTTTAAAGTTCAATTTATTGCATTACAATTCCACTATCAAACCTCCAACACACAACACTGGATAGGCCTCCTTATAGTTTATGACTATAAAGTCCTGAAAAACTCATCACTACCAACATGAGCAGCTTTGATGAATTCCACTGTGGTCAGCACTTTTTGCATAAAACAAAAATCACTCACACGCCATTCAACATCCAAAATGAAACAGCTGTAAATCCAGCAATTAGCGCTGTACTTTGACTGTTCTGATCAAGTGCCGCTGTGGAATTTGAGAGCTGCCACAGAATCTGCAGGAGTGCTTGGTTTTAAAATTAAAGTGCTTAACAAATGAATGTTCAGAAGAGGTGGGGAATAAAAGAGAGTGCAGACGCACTAGGAGGGCAGGGAGAAAGGACTGCAAGGGGAGATGCAGAGAGGAGCAAAAAGATTGAGGGGGGGGAGGCAAACTGGGAAAAGCAGAAAAATGGATCATATGAAAGGTTTTTAAAATCATCCACACTCTTTTAAACATCAGATACTGAACAGCACTTTCAGTTTCACATACATCTATTTAGAATGAACAATTATTTCCCAACCCCTCTGACATGTAGCAAAAGAGTACAGTTTGCCCACTCTCTCAATGCATAAAGCTCCCTTTAATCCAGTGTACTTCAATGGAGTCAAGAGATGTCTCTCTATAACACTCATATGCTGGCAAGAACACAGGATACCAGGCAAAGAGTTCCACACCCTTGTTTTGCATGTCACCCGTGACCACAAGAGCTTGCTGTCATATGTTAGTGCTGGCTGGTTTGCCCTAGAGAATGAAGTCCACTCTTTAGTCATAGCACAAATTCAGCACTGAGAGCAGCAGTGCAGGCTTCCACTCACTGCCCGAAGAACCTAATGGATGGAGAGGAACCATCTCGTGAAACTGGGAGGCCCAGTTTCTAGACCGAGTTGGTCCTTGCTTGGGAGCTGTACGGAGACCGCCAAGAAAGGGGGGCAAGTTTTATGATGAGGACACTTGTCCATAAGGAACTGGACGAAGAGCCCCGACTCATTTCCCACAGGCCTCCAGACAGCCATCAGAGGAGGGTCATTTTGGTCAATACCACAAGGGAAGCTGTAAACTGTACACATAGCTTAGATACCAATGTTTCCAGTTCACAACTACAGTAAGCTTTGAAAATAAGTCGTAACGATTGAAAGCACCAAAAGCTTCCCATTGTTTATCCCCTGGCTGGCCTAAATTATCCATATAAAAAATGGGGTCAGGAGTGACATTATAACAGGGACACATGACCGCCCATTACATTTAATACCCATTCGGCAAGAGAAAACACCCTTTCCTTAAAAATTTCACAGGTGCCCAGGCCCTGCTAACAAACTGATGCAGGCAGGACTCCCTGACCCTGCCATACAAAACCTGATGTTCCAAGTTCCCCAGAAATCCAGAAGCACTAATGCTTAGCATGGCTGTTACAGACACATACATACAAGAGCAGAGCGCCTCTTGAGAATCATTGCAGAGAATGTCCCCAAGCAGCTCAGAGCAATATGAATACATATTCTTACAGCACATTGAAATGCTGGGCTCAGAAACACTACATCGAATTTGCAATTTGAATATAAAAATGCACGAAACAGCAAAATATACCTCTTCAAAGGAGATTGCTATATCCCACTACATGTTAATCTACACACACATGTATAACACACAAACATACATGTATCTGACATTTACCAGCCACTCAGCGTTAGGCGAATGTGATTAATCCTACATGACATGCTCTGAACTTTCCCTTCAGACAGCCTCTCCTCCTCCTTCAGACCTACTGGCAGTGGGTGTCATTTGACCTGCAGATTTCACTCTGAATAACGATCAGAGAAACAGTGGCCACTAACCCATTATTTGCCTCCTTTGCAGCTCAGCCTAGAGACAAATTTGCTAAATGTACAATAAAGATTTTTTTTAATGGAGGATGGAAAAAAACAACACAATTCTCCCTCCCCTTCTATTTGTGTGCAAGGATCTGGGGGGCAGGGAAGGGGACGACAGCCAAAGAGCGGAGCCAAAGGGGAGGGTGCTAGAATCCAAAGAACTTTGCAGCTAGGGTGACGGGGGAAGCTAGCTGGGATGGTGTGAGCTACCCCAGCCCAGTCCCTATTTCCTTTCCCCCTTGCTGTCTCCCCCTCATTTCCAAGTCTCCTTTGTCCATCGCTACCCGTTTCCTTAGCTCGCTGCGAGGGGGAACATGTGCACGCAGCCGCCTGTTCTGTGTTTACACTTTTGGAAAGTCTCTGCCTCCACGCTCCCACTCCAGCATGGCTGGAGGAGGCGATCCAGGCTGTGCCCCCCCAGAGACAGAAGGGCTTCGGCGCATACACACCGACCACTGCGCCTTCAACACGGCCAGGAGTCCATGGCCAGGAACTGGAAGAACACAACAGCACTCGGCGTGCCAGGGTCGGAGCTAGCTGATGAGCACCAAGCCCACCGCCAAGGCACGTCTCTCCCTCCCCAAGCCCCGGGGAAACGGGGAGACCGCGCGGCAGGGGCTTCTCCAGCAGGGGACCGGCCCCCGGCACGCGAACCGGCACCAGCGCCGGCAAACGCCTCGCCCGCTCCAGACCGCTCCAGGCACTTGGGAGCCAGCTGCAGCCCCCAGCCCCATTGCAAGCCCCTCGCCCAACCAGGGCGCATCCTCTGCCCTGCGCGGCGCGCCCCAGCCAGCTCCTCCGACTCACCCATTCCAGCGCCCGCAGGAAAGCCAGCGGCTCCTTCACCGCCCGGAAGGTGCCCGTGGAGGCGAGCTAGGGAGAAAGCAAACACAAGACGGGATCATGGAGCAGACCGAGAGCCAGCCCCGGCCCGGGCCCTTGCCCCAAGCCGCCTCTCCCCGTACCTGGTTCACCGCCTCCATCGCTGCTCCGAAGCCTCTGCCCCCGACGCCCAAAAGTTCACTGCCCTCCCCGGCTAGCGCGTCAAGGCGCCCAGAGGCCGCTTGGAGACCGCTGCGCGCCCGGAGAAGCCACCCAGGAGCCGGGCGCTGCGCTCTCCCTCCACACGGGCACGCCGGGCTGTGGCACACGCCAGCCGAGCGCGCTGGGCGGAGGCAAGGGAGGGGCTGGCCGGGCGCCTCTGCCCCGCCTTCCCGGGCATGGGCGCGCTGGGCTGGGGAGGCCAGGGCGCGCCCCGGGGCCCGCGCGGGGAGGCGAGCAGCTAAGGAGGGGCGCTGCCCGGGAGGGGCTGGGGGTGGCAGTGGGCATGGGGCTCAGAGGGGGAAGGAGACGAGCTGAGGAGCGAGGGGAGCCGGGGTGGGGATGTGAGTTTGGGGCGGGAGGCTGTCGGGTTACAGAGCCTGCGGCAGGGTGGAGGGAAAGGTCCCCGCAGGGCTGAGAGGGGCTAAGGGGAGCCCGAGCGATGGGGGCACGAAGGGATGGGGTGCAGGGGGCCAGCTGATGGCTTAGGGCACCCTATGGAGTTGGGAAGCCGGCGAAGGTGCCGGTGGCTCTGAACCGGGGAGTTCCAAGCGGATGGCGAGGTGCAGCCCCGTTCCAGGGGACCTAGAGGGCAGCTGCATTGATGCCGACACGGCTCTGGAGCTTTGAGACATTTGTGAGGCTCCTTTTCAACCCAAAAAACCCAATCGCAAACTGACCCGTCTATTAACCCCCCAGGTTTGCCAAAGAGACACGGACCACCTGGTCCCCGATCCTGCAAACGCACAGCGGGCTTAGTGCCCGGAGTTCAACGGCCTTACAGAACACCATTCTCCAGCCGTGGAACTGGCTGAAAAATTATTTAAAAAATGGTTTTAAAATTAAAAATATTTTCACAAAAACATGTTGAGGGATTATTTTAGCTGTCCAGTTTGTGTGTCTTTGGGCGTTTGTCAGAACATCCCTCCCATTTTTAAAATTTGTTTCTCCAATTGTTTTTCTCCTCCTTCAGTCCCCCCGCAAATCACTGGACATGCATTTTTACTTGCAAAAGGAGAAAAGGTGAAGGGAGGGGAAGGTAAAAGGAGGAGGAGGCCAAAGGGGAAAAGGAGAGAAAAAGCTAAGTGAAAACAACCACCATCAGTGAGTTTTGTCAGAAAATCTGACAATTATTTCTTTGCGTGGAAAAAAATTCAAGAAAAAACGTTCCTAGATCTTAGCATCTTTCCACCAGTTCTAGCCATCGATGTTAAAAATCTTCAACGAACCTGCTCCCTTAATACACAATCTGACATTTAAAAAGTGAAATGCAAGATAATTCCCCACCCCAGAGCACTTTCTACATTAGACCCAGTGAAACATAAATTTATGTGGCAACCGAATTGTTATGCCATCCTACCAGTTGCAGAGACCCACACTGGCATTTTTGTAACATTTGCTTGACAGCAGAACAAGGGGCTTGGCATTATTTCCTAACATAGCCTTAATAATATATCATTGCCATAACCTGGCATTGAGAGCATTTCCCATTTGTCTTTCCTCCTTTACATCACCCTCTCACGCTGACAGAGTTTCATTTCCTTTTGACATGAAGAACATCACAGTGGGAACTTTGTGATGGAATTATGTCCTGCTAAAGTGAAGGATAAAGAGAAGGTGGGGCAGGGTGGGGGCGAAGCATCTTATTACATAACAACTGCACATGCTCTGCAGCTAGCATTTCCAGGTTTAGGCCCCAATCCAGGAAACATTTATGCACATGCTTTATTTAACTACCACAAATTGTCTCAGTAGGAATGCTGGTATAGTTAAGCACATTCAGTGTCTGGGCCTCCATCTGGGCCTTAAGTACATTTCCAAGCATTTTCATTTTTTAAATACCTGAAGCTGTTACTCCACATAAGGAGCTAATCAAAAGTTTAAATCAGTAATTTGGTTAGCCTTTTCCAGTCTAGAGCTGTAAAAAAACAAATAAATACAGAAACTGCATTAAAAACATAGTTTTAGAAAGTCTAGGAATCAAGAACAGTTTAGGGGGTAACTGAATTGCTCAGAGCCTAATGGTAATTTTACACAGAGTCTTTCATCCAAAGGTCATCAATTTATATCTGAGCCAGATCTGTAGCATGCAACAGAAGTGGGAAAAAAAATTCATCAAAACATTTTTTTCAAATGCAAAATAACTTTTACCCAAATTAAAATTTTAAAGAAAAAAATGTATATATATACACACACTTCTATTCTTTCTTCCTAGGGGAAAAAACAAGGAGAGAGAGCGCATGTGTGTGAGAGGTTAAAAACTGAAAAAGATTTTAGTTTTCTTTTAATAATAAAACTGAAAAATCCACAGAATTTTTTTTTCATTCAAAAATTTCAATGAAAAATATAGAGCATTTTTGAGGGACTCTAGTGATCAGACAGATGCTGGCTGTTTGGTTGTACAGGTGAAATGAATTAGTGGTCTTAAGCCAAAACGCACCATCACCACGTGACATTCTTTGTTGGTAATCTCAATGTAGCTGCGACAGAATGAACGTGCAGAGAGATGCAAGTTATCCTCCGACTCCTAGACATTGTATCTCCAGGCCAGTGTGGAGGTGCTTTGGTAGATTAATGTGAGGACCTTGCCCCAGACCTGACAAAGAAATAGGGCCACTGTATGTAAAGAGCTAGCACATTGTCCTTCTTCCTTCAGAGGTTTCCAATTCCATCCCAAGATCATAGCCTAGATAACACCTCAGATGTCATCTAAAGATTTGTACTTAGTTTGCACTAATATAAATGACTGCCCAGACTGCTAGTTCTGAGATTTCCATTCTACTTACCGGTACTTACTATTTAGAGTAGCTTTCATGGTACCTTTCCTTTAATAGAGTAGTTTTCACAGAGAATAGTTTATAAATTGGAGATTTGTTGAATCGATTTAGGTTCACGTAATTCCAAAAATGGAGGATAAAAATAATACTGAAATGTTTAACAGAGGGGCAGTTGAAAATCAGGATGAACCTGTGATGGATAGGGAAAGATCATTTCTCACAATCACAATTTGACCTGGGTAATTTAGGCTGGGATTTTCAAAGGAGGGAGTTAAGTGGCCAACTCAATTTGACTATCAGTGGAATTCGGACACCTACCTTCCTTAGCCTCTTGCAAATCCCATCCTTAACAGACACTCCTGTAATTTATTACCAATACACTTGGCTACAGTTTTCAGAGATTATACATGGCACATTGAAGAAAAGCTGGGCCATCTGGAAGAAACACAGGATTATTTTGCTTCCTGCTTTTTAATTTTTTATGCTTGCATTTTGATTTACATATGCAAGTGCTTTTGTCTTTTTCTTTTTTTTTCAATTTTCTTCCCTTATGACCTAATGGCATTTGTGGCTCATGATCATTTGATGCTATTTCAGCACAGAGCCAGTTCATGGTCAGATCTCTCTTTGAATGGAAATCCTCAGATGAACATGGCACCAATGGACCAGTCTGGTTATGGACCAATATCTGCCCTATCCTTTATTGAGTCTTCCAGATGGCTGTTAGCACATTCTGCCACATTGAAACACAAATGCTTTTTTTGGCTTTCACAGCTGCTCTCTTTGCACACAAAACCTTAGACATCTTAGCAGTAGAAATGTCTCACTGACTTTAAAGCTCCCAATCTAAATCTTATTCTACTAATGACACCTCAAATTCAAGAAACAAAGACCCACGCCTTTTGATACTACATAAAAAAAAAATCTCAAACCTGCATTCAAACAAGCAAATGTGCAAGGTCTGCAATTGGAAACTCTGAAGGGGAGAGTAAGGATCTAGAGACTAAAATTAGGTTTGTGCTAAATTATATTCCACTGCGTTTTCACACCTGTATGACTGTGCTTGGTAAGCAGTGCCTCCCAAAAATGCAGAAGAGGTGCAATTATAAATCTTTGTGATGAAGGGTAGAGAGACTAAAGAGGTTAAAAAAATGTTTCAGAGGGATGAAACCTCTTTCACCGGGTCATCAAAACCATGGAGCGCACCTCTCAAAGATTACATTCACAATACAGGGACAACAATTCTTATGCTCCACCTTTCTTATCCAACCAATATGCTCGTTCGCTCCTTCACAAAACAGAGTAATAAGAAAACTGCCAATGCCAGCTTGCAATTACTCTGGGTGTAGAAAATCACAATCAGGTCGTTGTTTTCTTCTCTCTCTTCTTTCTTTGTGTAAGAAATCAAGGTCAATTTAAAATGGCAGAAATGCAGATATTAGCGGTTTAAGAATTAAACATACCAACTTAAGAACCATGGACTTGTTTGTCTAGGCAAAAATAGTGATCAGCCCCATCTACAGAACTCGGCAAGCCCATACCTCGTTCTCTTGAATGGCAGAAAACACAAACACTAATTCAGGAAGAATTTTTTAACGCCCGGCTTGACAAAGCCTTGGCTGGGATGATTTAGTTGGTGTTGTTCCATCTTAGAGCTAGGGATGGGACTAGATGACCTCCTGAGGTCTCTTCCAACCCTATATTCTGTGATTCTATAAGAACTTCCCCAACTAATGCCATTATAAGACAATCCAAAAGATGGACAAACAGGTCAAGAGAGGCCTTTTTGTCAACATGTACAGTGATGTCTGACTCCCACACTCCACCATGGCATGGTTTCCTCCTGCAGCTTTATTCCTTCCATAGGGCTGCCCAGAAGAGGAAGCAAAAGGGGCAGTTTGCCCCAGGCCCCCCATTTGAGTGGGCCACTGAACCAAGTGGTGTTGCAACCTGGCACAAGGGGCAACGCTACTCACATTTGGCCTGGTGGCCCCTCCATCAAGGGGCTACCAAGCCAAACCTGAGTGGTGCTGCAACTCCACCCGCCAGGTCACAATGCCCAAAGTGGGAAGCCAGACCCAGCCCTGTGGGACAGGAGCAACTGCTGCAGGGTGCATGCCATGCAGGCTCATGCTTCAATGGTCCACCTCCCCACAGTCATAATTCTAATGGAAGGGCAGATTCAGACTTCGCCCCGGGCTCCTAAAAACCTCTCTGTGGCTCTGCCCTGCAGGATCACGTGCTAGATCCCCACATGTCCGGACTCCCCCTTGCTGCCCCAATGGTGTGTGTACTGCTAGCAACCCCTTTCTCAGCAGCAGCGCAGAAGCAGCATGCTCGA